ATTTCTAGGATAAATACTTTGCACAACTGAGATCCTTCAAAAGAATGAACTCTAGAAAGAAATTCCAAAAGTTATTTTCAAGCATGTTGTATGCAATGGACATATTGGAAACTGTGTACAGCTATACAATGTGATGACATTTAAAGGACAAAATTCATTTAGATCTGTACATTTGATTTTCTTTATTAAAAAAAACAACTTCATTTGAGGCATACCAGGACCCAAGTTATATTTTCCATTTTTCCCTGAAGTCAGATCTGGTATAACACTACAACTAATGCCTGCACATGCACCACGTGCCAGGCACCAGGACAAGCATGTTCCACAGCTTGCACTGAATCCTCACGTGAACTTGTGGCCCATTTCTTAACTACATTTTGCAGATGAGGAAACTGAAGTTGGTGGAGAAGCCTTTGTCTAAGGCAGTGTGTCTCAATCTGTTTTTCATTGGCACCTCCTCTAAGGGGCCCTTTTAGACTCTTTTCCCCCCTAATTGCCCAGTGCCAATTTTAATACCATGAATGCACAATGCTGTTTTCATATATGTAAATCTGTGCTTTATACACAAAATAAGTCTATAAAAATCTCCCCAAAACAAATTCACACCTTGAGAGAGGACAGCACTGCTGGTACGAACACACGCTCCACAGCTGCACAGATAAGACAGTGTGGTGGAGTGTGGCTCCAAATCCAGGCTACATGACTACAGGCCCATGTTACAGTCTCTAGACACAGTAATGTTTCTTTATGATCTTGCCCTCCTGCAGTTTTGGCTCCTTAAATACCTTCCCATCATCCTCAGGATATGGCACATCTCCCTTCGATGAGGCCCTCATGATCTGGCCCTTGCTGTCCCCACACTCTGCTCCAACAACAGCGAGCCACATGTATCTGCTTGCAGTAGGCCAGGCTTTTCCTCCCCAGCTTCATTCTTCCACCCTCTTCACCTGGCTGACCGCTGCTTGGGCTTCAAGCTTGGCCCAGGTCCTCCAGGGAGCTTTCCCTGACCTCAACCCCCATTCCAGGTTGGGTTGAAGCCCTTCCTATATGCTGTTATAGCAACTTGGATTTACCCTTCTCCAAATGCTCCCCATACTCTGTTATATTTATTCATCTGCCTCTTCCAATAGACTGTGAGGGCCAGGGGACCTCATCTCTAACTCTCTAGGCCCACCAGGATGCATGGCAAGAACTCTGTAAGCATTGCATAAATAACAGGAAGCTGAAAATGGCTTCAGTGCATATGCAATAGAAACAGCTATATAATTTTTTAAGTAACAGAATGCCTAGCTGAACCTTCTACTCACTTTTTTAGGTCTTCATGGTCCTTTGGACAACCATCCCTTGTTCGGCTTCAGTCCAAGGTTTTGATGGCAGTGACACTGATCCTACTTCTAGGCTCCAGAGTTAAATATAAGACCTAGGCCTGACAAGAGTGTTCCATCCTTTTGACCACCAAACGACTCCAGGGTATGGATAAATGATGTAAGTCAATAATAAGAGATGCCATGTTGGGACTTAAGTGGAACTATTAGAGGAGAAATATTCCCTTTCCACTGGGGTGGAGGCGTATCAGTCTAACATGGCCAGAGGCTGCTCTGTGGAACAGGCAGAGGGCCTGCCTAAGCGAGAAGACCACACAGAGAGCAGATCCCAGAGACTGAGGGCAAGAGAAACACACAGACCAAACCAGCTAAGTCCTGATGTTCCATCTTACAAACCAGCCAGCCCCAATGCTCCTGAACTTCTCAATTCCATGAATCAAACTTTTTTTTTTTTTCCTTGAGCTTAAGGCGTTTTGAAATGGATTTTTGTCAACTGCAACAGAAAAGGGTTCTGGGCAACACAGTGGGTGATGATATTGCCAACTATTTGGCCCCCAGCAGGCTTTCAACAAATGTGAGTTCTCATGCTCTTCCTTGGTCAAAGAATGTGGCTCAAAAAGAAAGGACAGTGATAGTACCTACCATACAGCTCTGTTGTGAGAATCACATGAGATGGTGCCACCCGAGTGCTTGGCACAGTGCCTGGCACTCAAAAAGGACTCACTGAAAACATTAGCACTAACACCACTGTACAGTGGGAGACTTGGAAGAGACAGACTTCAGAGACCTTGAGTGTAGTTTTCCACTATTTCATGAACCTATTAAGTTGTAGTATCAACAACTCGGAGAAAACACACTCAAAAATCAGAATAACTGCAAAGGGCCAGTCCTTGGTTGTGGTAGAAACTGCTGCCACAGTGAGCAGGTTTGAACCTCCAGGTGCCAGGCCTGCCTCCTGAAGAAATGATCCAGGTGGTTTTGATCTGCCTCAATGCTCTACTTATGACAAGTCTGTTTGCCAATCATCCAGTCTTACTGTGCCTCAAAAGGCAGAAGAGAAGCACTGTTGTTCTAGCTAAAAAACTGCATTGCCAAAGGGAAACACACGGCTCCTCTGTATTTACCAGTTTTCTATGTGAGCCCCCCAATGCTTCCTTCTTTCGCATTAATAATTTGTAAAAAGTTGGACAGAAAAAAGGTCCTTGTCCCCTCTAGGCTGTATGCTTAGCCAACTCATTCATCCTAACACTAATTTAATTTTACTTTCCTTGCTCTGTAAGAATTTTCTTCTTCACACTCATTTTTTGTGCTACTGGGATTAGGAATCTGGTAAAAGCTCAAGTCCAGACTCTGTTGGATGAAGTTTAAAGCTCTGGTTACTTTAAATGAAGCTTTTGAAGAAATATATGCATACATGTATAATAAACATCATAAAAACATTTCAGACAGGAAATATTAAGATATTATTCAATTCATATTTTCCATTTGGACTCACTGAGTTTTTCAGAAGTATAAACAGTTGTCATTTTCTAAAGGGAAAATACATTTTGAATGGAAGGATTTTAAAGCTGTTTACTACATGACACAGCCCTTCCCTATAAGAAACCTGAAGTAAATACTCATGTTTTGGCCGGCTGGGTATGGATGCCTGTTTGGCCCCATGGTCCTTCTTGGTCACAGTGATCCATTTTGGGATGGGGTAGAGGATCCAAAGTGGGCCAGTCAGAAACAATCCGGAGGGTTTTGCTAGAATTGCCAGGTACAAGGTGTTTCTTTATGCTGTGGCAGCTGTGGGACTTCTCTGCTCCCCTGTGGTGACAGCCTGAGACTAAAACCAAACAGTGCTGACTGAGCAGAGCCATGAGACAGGCATGCTGCCCTTGTTAACCTCACCTGATTAGTTAAACTCACACTAGGTGGCCTCTAATTTACCAATGGGCTTCAAACATATTTGCACAACACTTTTTCCTGGAGAAGGGATGACATGCAGGTGAGTCTAGTGTTCCTATGCTCGCCCCAAAATACAACATACTTCATAATCTTGCTGGTCTGCAGCACTAAAGGGCTTATGGTTACCGTCAGACGCCTGAGGAAACCTGAGATGACCTCCTTCCTTATTCTCCTGTTCCAGTCAATTAGGAACAGACCCAATCTGCCAGCAGATTCTGTTGCTCCACCTTCAAAATAGATGTCTACGCAATGAATTATCACCACCTACACCGCTACCCTCATCTGAGACACAATTGTGTCCTTCTTGAACTAGTCCAGTGGTCTCCCCAATGGTCTGTGTTTCTGCCCCCGCTCCTCTTCAGTCTGTATTCAACACAGCAGCCAAGTAGTCTTGAAGTTAAATCACAACATTCTTCTGCACCAAACCCTACTCATCTTCGAGTGAAAGGCAGTGCATTAACAACGGCCCACAAGACTGTGCAGCATGACCCGATCCTGCTCTACCCTGTTTCTTTCTGATACCCTTTTCTGCCACCTTACCCCTGTACTCGTGTCTCAGCCCCACTGACCTCTGGCTCTTCCTGGTACACACCAGGCATGCCCTTGCCTCAGGGCCTTTGCATGTGCTGTTTCCGCTACTTGGAACTTGCCCCAGGTGGAGCCCATTTGGTTCCCTCCTCCTTTAGGTCCTTGCTCAGGTATCATCTCCTTGACCACTCTGAACACTCCTGCTAGGCCCCCATGGGCCCCTCCCCTTTCCAGATTTAGTTTTCTCCATTATCCAGTTACCACCATCTTAGAAATTACATGTTTTAGTTATTTGCTTTGTTTATTGCCTGCCTCCTCCACTAAAACGTAAGCTCCATGATAGTAAGGATTCTTATCTGTTTTACTCACTTTTTCAGAAATCACTTGTGCCTAGAAGACTGGCACACATTATGGGCTCAAAATTGAGTGAATGGAAAGAAGGGAAGGAGAGATGAAAATATGACACCTGTTTCTCACTGGTGAAGCCTGTCAGATGAAGGGCAGAAGCCGCCTACATCGGTCTGAGAGGTGAAGGCACCCAGGCCAACTGAATGGGCTTGATGGAGTTGCTCAGCTGAATTGGCTGAGATGGTCCGGCTGAAAAAACACAACTTCTAAAGAGAGGCTGCAACCTGGCTTCCCATGGGAAGCAGTGAGAGTCCGGATAGCTTACAGTCTGCCATTTTAATCTTACATGTATTAAATACCACATAATATGCTAAATTTTTTCTTATAGCCCAATTTAATTTTCAGTGAAAGACTATGAAAAAAAATTCTAAGGTAAAGAGGAGTTATGTGACTACAACAAAGTAAAGCATCATCTCAGAAAAACTGCAAATGCTATGACTTATTAACTCATTTTGCTGGTTCTGAAACTAACATTCAAAGTGGACATGGGATTTGGATCTATCTAGCAAGTAGCAGAGCTGGGATTTGAACTTGGATCTCCTTGGTTCTCAAACAAAAACCTCTTTGGTACTAAATCCCAGAAGCTCACCATAAGTGCCTTGACCTCCAAAGTGGATCTGGCCCTGCCATTGTCTAACAGAGACAAGAGGGTCTCCCAGGTGGCAAGACCAGAAACACTTAAGCTACCTCACCTTCCTGAATGCAGAGGCCGTGGGATTCCCCTCCCATGAGCAAAACCTGGCCAGCATCTGGCCCCCATATCTACGCTGTAGGTGCTGCCTGGCTTACCTCCAGTAAACGAGCACAGCAATGAGAAGGATGAGGCACACGAAGGTCAAGGCTGATACCACAATCAGAGGGATGATCCACTCCATCCTCCCTGGAGCAGGGCGGCTTATCATTCCAGAGGTGTTTTTTTCCGCTGCCAAGAGAAATCATCCCAGTTAGAGAACAGAGGTTAGTGGAGGTGGGAGCCAGAATGTGAAGCAGAGTTTTGTTCCAGTTTTGTGTGGTTTCTGGAGAACTGGGCCACTTGCTCTGGGCTGCCCCATGACAGGAGGGGCAATCTGCAGCCCTCACCATCTCCTGCCCCATCCCAACCCACACAGGGCCTCTTCTGTGGGCTGCATTCTGTAATCGGCAGTTATATGGACTTACAGATAGAGCTGAAGGTGTTTTTAGACAGCCGTACAGAAGACACAGACATTCCAGCCTTACCCCAAGAACATGACCGACCCAGAAGAGCCTTTGAAGGTGCTGAGGACGTGTGCTCAAGTCTCAAAGAAGCAAGGGTGGAATGGCTGTCCAAGAGCCTCTCAGGTTCTCTAGTGCAAGGGCAGGAGGGCTGGCATGAGGGGTTTCACTAGGATAACTAGAACTGGCTGTGACTATGACGACCATCTATTCTTTGCTGCTCAGCATCCCTTACTCCTTGCTGTAGGAACAACTACACCCCAATTCTGCTTTGGGAAACCACCTTTCCCTAACAGATATAGTCATGGTGGGACAATCATCGGAGTGTGCGGCTCCCTGCTCTGGTCAACGATGTAGCACTCAAGCCAGGACTATTACGTCTTGCCCTAGAATCTCACCACTGACTCTAAGACTGAACAACAGCACATCCCAGCAGGAGCACCTAGGTGCTTTTGTGTGCAGGCTCCTACCATCCAGATCCCCAGAGATCCTGTTTTTCCTAAAATGCTTCTCTAGTTTGTCCTTTGATCCTATCACCTACCCCAGATCCTTCCAAAAGCTCCTATTTTCTTTCCTGAAGACAGGAAGCCATACCACACCCTATTCCCAGAGCACGTCTGTAACCAGCAGCCACAATCTAGAGGTTAGCAGGGAAAGCTTGCCAAATAGTTCAGGATTCTCGCTGGTCAGCCAATACCTGTTAATCAGGCAGCTCCTTCCTCCACCTCTCCAGGCCCTGAATATCTTCAGAAGTCCCCGGGAGCCTCAGCAGAAGATCCTATCTTCCCTTCCACTGTGGAGAAGATGCCTGGAACATGCCAGGTGGCCCAAATGAAGTCCCGGTTGGGATGCTGGGGCTGGGAAGAGCACAGGTGCACAGAGGCAAGCAGCGAAAAAGCAAAGTCGTCTGTGACCACAGGGAGAAGCCCCTTAAAAAAATCTAACACTGGCTGCAGGCTGACTCGAGCCCAGCAAGGATTCCTCCTGCACTGCAAAAACGAGGCCAGCATTCAGCCAGCCCGGAGTGTCCCTCTGCAGGATGGACTAAATGCAGAGCTAATCAGGTTGAGTTTCCAGGTGAGAGAAGGTAGGCTGAGTAGGGAAGAATTGGCTGTGGGAGCAGATTTTTAAAGAGGCGAGACTCTCGAGTCAGGAAGAAGTGTGTTACGATGCGTTTCACTGGATTTCCTCTAATGCATTTTATGTTGACCACCTCCTTTGTTTCAGGCACAGGCCTGTGACGCAGGCAGGACCTGATGTATCCCCAGCTCACAGGTAGAAGACGACAGAGTCAAGTAGGTGCAGCACACTCTGATTAAAAACCACCGCAGAGCACTTTGCCATTTATAAAGTGCCTTCCTAGCTGTGCCTGTCCATTTTCTTAACCCCCTGCTCCATTTTTTCATTAGATAGGATAGATTCTTACCAAGCCCCTACTATGCACAGGCCTGGTGCAAGGGGAGGGGGACACAGCAGTACATCAGACAGTAGCACTGCTGTGCCCATGGGGAGGAATCTTAAATGGGGAGAGGCGGGCACAACCACAAGTAATAATACAATGAATGTGGCACCAGGGGATGCACAGGGGGCCATAGGGGAATAGCTCTCCAAGCCCAGGTCTCCATGAGCTCCCCAACGAAGGCAAGTGTTGAAGGATGAAGGGGAGTTAGTTAGGCAGAGAGTTGGGGAAGAAGGGTGTTCTGGATGGAGACCATCAAATCAGTGGGAGTAAAGAATGAGAGGAAAGGGGACCCAGATGGGGAATTGGAAGGCAGATGAAGCCAGGGCCTTTTAGGCTAAAATAAAGAAACTGATTTTAGTCCTAAGGGCAGTAGATACTACTGCAGGGTTTTAAGCTGAAGCAGACAAAGATCAGGCATGCCTTCTCTCCATCAACATAATGCTTTTATTGCAAAGCTCTGGTGGCTGGCCAGAGAAACCAGAGTTGCAAATAAGAATTTTGTGGGGCCCCCAGAAGGGGGTAGCCCAGCCAGGCAATTATCTGGCTGGTGGTGGGGGGATCTCAAAGACCTGGAAGTCCTGTTAATGGAAAACAATGTTGGGAGGGTTGACGCTATAGGCCACATGTTCAGTTAAAATCAGTATCCACTCTGGGAAGCCCTTGGGTACAGGAGGGACTCTCAGTGTCTTGTTCCTCTCCTCGCTCCTTACAGAACAGGATTCTTGCCTGTGCTGCTACAAAGAATGAAAACTCCATGTCCTATTCATCCCAAACCACAGAAAGGAACTCTTGGCCAAAATAGTCCCTCACACTTATATCCCTAAACAATCACTGGCAATACCACCTCTGTGGTATTTCTATCATTTTTTTTTTTCCTTTTTTGAAACAGGGTCTCACTCTGTCACTCAGGCTGGAGTGCTTGATCTCAGCTCACTGCAACCTCCGCCTCCCAGGCTCAAGCGATCCTCCCACTGTAGCCCTCCAAGTACCTGGAATTACAGGTATGCGCCACCACGCCCAACCAATTTTTGTATTTTTAGTAGAGACAAGGTTTCACCATGTTGCCCAGCTGCCCTCGAACTCCTGACCTCAAGTGATCCTTCCACCTCAGCCTCCCAAAGTGCTGGGATTATAGGCGTGAGCCACCACGCCTGGCATATTTCAGCCATTCTAAAACCAGTGAAAAATGACCACTCCAGAATTTCTTGGCCTTGGGAAGGGGTTCGGGAGTGACCATCTGTTTGTGTGGATCAATGGCATGTTATATTGTCCCTGAAGCCCCAGGGGTATCTCTCTGTTGGTGATAATGTCTGTCCCCCTCTCCTCCTCTACGGGGTGAGTGTTCAGTTTTCATTGGATTCTAAGAGGGGTCCAGGACCCAGAAAAAGTGAGAACCAACAGCATAGAGAATAAAGGTCCAGAAGACAAGGCTCTTGAGTCACAGCCCAGGTCAGAACTGGCCTCAAACTTGATTTCCACAATGGAGTCATTTCTCCCTCTAACATTTCGTGAAAGTGTGTAATAACTGGCCGGGGGACAGGGTTGGAGGGGGGATTCCCGTAGGGGGTTGGAGCCTATCTGAAATCCCACTGTGGACAGTCTCCAAATGGCAGTTTCTATGGAGGAGCTCTCTGGGTGGCAATAACTTGTAGTGTCAGTGAGAGACTTAAGGAAGTTTTTCTGACAAGTTTCACTCTGACCTTGACTAACGGCAGGCAGTTTCATTGGCTTGGGTCTTTTACATAAAAGCCAAGCAAAAATAAGAATGCGACTGAATTTCCACGTGGGGCATGATAAAGTTGATTTCATTTTCAAATTCACAGTACTGCTTTGTCTTCCTGGTGCCAGGAACCTAGAATTGGATTCCGTCTCCAGGTGATCAAGTGAAATCTGCTCCTGTCACTTTCCTAAGTAGCCCCTCATGGCCCTCAGGATACCCCTGAGTGGGGAAAGCAAGGCTTTTCAGGAGCAGGGCCTTCCATCCCCAAACCAGCATCATCTCCTGTTGTTCCAGCTACACTCACCCAGTCAGTGACCATGCTGGGCCATGGTCCCACCTCTCTGTCTTTGCCCCTCCCATTCCTACTGTAGGGAGTGCCTTTCCTTTCCTGATGCCAGAATTCATCTTATTGATCCTTCGATCCTGGTTCAAATGCTGCCTTCTCTGTGAGGCTTCCAGAAGCCGCCAGTTTGCACTATCTCTTAAGGGCAGAGCAGAGATTATAGGTTCAAATCCTGGCTCTGCCATTTTCTGTGTAACCTTTAGCCAATAACTTAAACCACTTTGGGCCTGGAGTTCTTCATCTATAAAACAGGATAAAAAGAGCCTACTTCATAGGACTGTTGGGGAATCCAATGAGAAGGTACATGTAAGCACCTAGAGGTGTGCCTGGCATCAAGCAAATGCCAAGTGCCACCCCACCATCATCATCTTGTGTTACTCTTACTGCACACATCACACTCAATTATAATCGCTCTTTTGTGACTCTAGGTCCCCAAAGGCAGGGCTGATTTCCATCTATGTATGGAAGAACAGTTACAAAGCTCTGCCTCCTACTAGCTTTGCAACTTTGGGCAACTGACCTAACCTCGCTGTGCCTCAGTCTCCTCCTCTGTAAATGGAAGTAATAATGTTGCATACGGCATTGTGGGGGATGAAGATTGAGTTTTGCATACAAAACACTTAGAATGTTGCTTGGCACCTGTTTAATGTTAACTATTGTGATTACTGTCATCACCACCACCCCAACTTCGGCAACACCATCACCAGCCACCATCCTAGCAGCAGCATCATTACTTATCATCACCACCACTCTCTTCCTCAGCACCCTCACACCATAGCAGGAGATGGTGAGTGCACACTGGTGTTTGCTGAATCTGACTCCTCTCTGTAACATCTGAGTGTATAACATCTGAGTGGCAGTCCTACAGAGCTTCAGATGTGCTGGGTATCAGCACAAAGGGCTGCCTATGATGAGATTGCTAGTAAAGAGCTAGAATCTCAGTTTGCCCTGAGACTAGACTGTATCATACTTCTTTTCTTCCCCCCCCCTTTTTTTTTGGTAGAGACATTTTCTTGATATGTTGCCCAGGCTGGTCTCAAACTTCTGGGCTCAAGGGATCCTCCTGCCTCAGCCCCCACTCAAAGTGCTGGGATTATAGGTATGAGACACTGTGCATGGCCCCTGTACTTCTTGCTGTGTCCTTCAGAAGAAATACCCGTCCTGCTCCCTGACTCAATTTGTGGCCCTAATAAAACAGCTGCC